AGCAGGGAAGCACCATTACCCCTGTAACTCTGACTAAAGAACATCTTTCTTCTATGAGAGCAGGTCATCTTTGTCAACTGAATATATAAGGGACACATGTGGAGTGGTAAAGGAGTAAGGAGACACCCACCTGGCAAGCAAGATCCCTGGTGAACCATGTACCCATGGGAACCAGGGACCCACATTGTAGCCAGATGGTCCTCACATCCCAGAGCAGTCCTGATGATAGGGAGCCCCCACTGCAGGGCCCATGCACAGCCTCCAGTTCTGCTACCAAGATTTCTGTATTAGGAGCCCATGGTTTAGGCTCTAGGGTGCCATGAAGGAAGCTTTCTGACATCTACTGTCCAAGTTGTCCAGTTGGATTGGTCTTTTGGTACCTTTTCTATAATGGATCTTCCTAGATGGGCACTAAAGCATAATTCAAAGATCTTTGCCTTTGGAGGTCATGACCATAGGTCCATGTGCTTCTACCCCAGGTCAGGTCATGTTGTAATGCCCATCCTAGTCTCTATTCTGGAAAGGGTTTGGAAGGGAGATGTGGAGAACATGAGGAAGAGCAAACATTGTCTTTCATGCTTCATCTACAGGTTCTGCACAGTCCTGGGGGGGATGGGAGAAGGTCTCTCTCTTAATAAGGGGGAGTAGGTCACCACTGCCAGTCCAGGGGATAAAGGGTATGGACCCAGAATTCTCATTTCAATGCTTAGGGTCCTTTTTACGTATCATGACCTGACTTTGTCTCCTCATCTACTGGCTAGGATCCCAAAATGACCAAGTGACAGATTTGCCTTGCCTGAAAATGTATCCTTTTCTTAAATTCTGCCACTGGCTCTTCAGCTCAGTCTGCCTGGAGATGAGGAGCTAAACATTGGCAAGGAGGCCCTCTGATTCTCACAATGGGCTTTAAATTGGTGACTAATGTGGGTCTGTTCCTTTATCTTCAGTGCCTCAGTGGTACTTAGCAGTAGACTCTTAATTCCATCATCCTCTCCAAAGACCTAGCACCAGCTGGCGTGTCACTGCCCACCTATATCTGATCCCAGCTCACCACAGGTGAAGGTCCAGGCAATTGAACCACAGCAGTTCAGGGATCAGGACTCTCAGTACTCTGTAACACCACTGATGGGGTCCTTATTACTAATTGCCAGCAGGTGACCCAATACCAGAGTCCCATTGTTTCTTGGATTTCTCCTGTACTGTCTTAGGTCAGGAAGCAGATTGTGCAAGTGTGTTATTGAGAAAGGGCTTTCAGATGAAACCTGTAAGATAGTGAGGGCAGAAAACAGGGTGGGGAAGAAGTAGGCGTAGATGTGGGTTTGGCTGAAGTCTAACATCAGCCCGATCCCCTAGGAAATGCTAGAGCACACATGGGACCACAAGGGTGTTATCTTGGTACAGAAGGTTGGCTTTTGTACCCTGAACTAGTAACTCATTTGTGGGCCACAAGCTACCCTTGGGGGAGGATGTAGCCTCACAGGCATTTCCTGGCTAGACAGCTCTCGTCAGCTGAGGACAGTTCTTAGAAGGGCGCAACTGTGAGATATCATCAGCTGACCTCAAAGCAATTGGGAAGTAAATGAATGTAATAGCCTGATAAAGAGGAACTGGGCAGGTTTCAACACCATCTAATACAATAATGTGCATGTGGCCTATTTGAAGAAAGTCTTTATGGAGGCTCCTATTTTTTTTTTTTAAGCAGAAAATGTTTCATAAGAAAATGTGGAGGAAGGTTCAGAGATTTTCCACAAGGCCCCTGCCCCTACACATGCCTAGCTTCCTCACCATCACCATCATTACCAGAGGAGTGAAGCTGATGGACCTACATGGACACTTGTACTCATCCAAAGTCCATTGCTTACGTTAGGGTTTGCTCTTGGTGATGCACACTCTATGGGTTTGTACAAATGATATGTATCCACCATTACAGTATCACACCAGAAAATTTTCAGTGTCCTAAAAATCCCCACTCTGTATACTCATCCTTCTCTTCCACACTAACTCCTGACAACAAATGATCCCTTTACTATCTCCAGATAATAAAAAATTTGAATTTTCTAGAATGTCATAAAGCTGGGATCATATGAATTATAGATTTCTCAGATTGGCCTTTTGCACTGAATAGTATGCATTTAGGTTGTTTTTTTTAATGTCTCTTCTTGGCTTGATGGCTCATTTCTTTAGTGCTGAATAATATTCCATTGACTGGATGTGCCAGTTTATCCGTTTACTCACTGAAGGATATCTTGGTTGCTTCCAGGTTTGGAAAATGTGAATAAAAGCATGTAGAAATATTTGTGTTCAGATTTTTGTAGAGACATAAGTTTTCAACTCCTCTGGGAAAATACTGAGCATGCATGCTGAGTTGTATGGAAAGAATATATTCTGTTTTGTGAGAAATTACTAAACTGCCTTCCAAAGCAACTAAGCCATTTTGCATTCCCACCAGCAATGAATGAGAGTTCCTGTTGCTCCACAGCCTCACCTGCATGTAGTGTTTTTGTGTTTTAGCTACTTTTCACAACCCAACTGAATTATTTGTGTATTTATTGATTTTATGGTGTCAACCAAACTTCTCAAGAGCTGACTGGTTTTCATGAGCCTAATTAGTGAAAGATCATCTCAGCTCATATCAACACAATGGTCATTCTACTGCCACTTTTTTGTCCCCTGAAACCAGGCAGCCTTCCCAATATTGAAAGTTGTGTATGCCTGAGTGTACACAGATAATACACGAACATATACAGACACAGTTCAAACCAAGTGCACACTAAAAGTCATCCTTTCTTTCTTCTGCTCATACCATGCCTTTTGGGCATAATGACCTTAAGTTAGTGCAGAGAGAGAGAGGAAAGGAAGGAAGGCATCTGGATAATCCTCATCCTTATGATCTGGGTAAAAGAGGAATTATAAATCTATATCAGTTAGTTCATATCTCTTGGTGATCATATTTGGATATCTTTGTCATTGTTGACCCTTCTGTCCTCAAACAGATCAGCTCATAAATATCTTTTTTGTGAAAACACCTCATGAGCATGACATACATTATGACCTGGCTAGCCTTCATAGGTTCAGTGTTTTAAAGTCCCAGTAATCTGAAAAGTCACCTATTAAATCAACAACCTAATAGGTTGGGAACTGAAGTGCCAACATATTTTGTTGGTCTGTTGGGCCCCAGCTGAAACAGGAGCCCAACTCCAGGCACCTTACCTCACTTTGAGTTTTTCAAAGTAAGAGGAAACTGGAATATGACACCCTCTAACCACCATAGTAAATATGAGACAGTGTTAGAAGATACAACCAGTTACTTAGGAGATATAAATTCAGTTTTATTTTCCTTCAAAAAAAAAAAAAAAAAGCTTTTCACAAGCCAACCTGAAATTTCCACAGGAAAATAAAACAAAACCTCCAGCCTCCCAGAGCTCCTGCCACCTCCCTTGGAGGACTAGGCCTGACGAAAGATTTATAGACCATATTCTAGAACCAAGATTTTTCTCAATCCTTATTTTCCCGGTTTGTACTTAGAAGAAAACAGGTCGCTTTTCATTTTCTAAATATAAAACTTTATAGCACCAACACACCCTAGTTGACAATTACTGCCTTATTAAATGGCATTACTATTAATATTTGTTGACCAGGTCTGAACATCTGATTTCTCCATGACGTGGACTTCTTCCTGTTTAATTTGCTACTCATGCTCATTAACATCCAAGAGTCCAGAAGCTTAAAGAAGAAACTTATTCAGTCTTGGCCTGGGGTAGATGGGAGGTTCTGGGACTGGGCTTGTTTAATGACTTTTGTACTTTCTAAGTGCTCAATAAGTGCATTTTGAACTAATACTTCTTCTAGCAGCCATTGTAAAATAGAGTATGTGCCTGAAGACATATTTGTATTGCACCAAGTTAATCACAAATGGTCTGCTATGGGCTGAATGTTCATGCTCCATCCCATTCACATGTTGAAGCCCTAATGCCTCATGTGGTGGTATTTGGAGATGGGACCTTTGGAGGTGAGAGGGTTAATGAGGTCAGGAGGGCAGGGCCTTGGTCATATGGGGATCAGTGCCCTTAGAAGAGACACCAGAGAGCTGGTTCTTTGCCCTGACCCACTGAACGTGGAAGTCACATGAGCACACAGTGAGGAGAGAGCCCCCTGCCATTCAGGAAGGGGACCCCCAACTAGCACCAAGCATTCTGTTACCTAATCTCAGACTTCCAGCCTCTGGAACTGTGAAAAGAAAGTTTCTGTTCTTTAAGCCACTTGGTCTGTGGCATTTTGTTTCTGGCAACCTGAGTTGATGGAGACATAGTCCAAAAGCCCAAACTTTAAATATTAAATTCCCAAGGTTTTCACTATGGGCAGTTTCAGGAAGCATAAAGCAGAAGATTTAAAAATTATCTTTAGTTTAAATAGTTAGGAAAAGATAAGATGATAAAATAACATATTCAAAGCCCCATGAACCTATAACCTACAGTGATGTCCTTAAAATAGGAAATATAAAAATGTCTACATATCTGCTTATTTATTTAATTTTCATCCTGCGCCCAATTCTGCCTGTAGGAAATTGATGTACAAAGTGGTTAGAGGTGATATCCTATGGGGAAGTACCTGGAACAAGAGCTCTGAATCTTTCCACAGAGAGTTCTGGGAAGCAGCAAAATTCAAAATTCAAGATTCCTGGAGAAAGCGACAAGTAAAGTGCCTCCACGCATCTTGCTTCTAAAGCACAGACCTTCTGGCCCTGCTCTTACCTGCAACAACTACTCCTTCGCAGAGCAGCTCTTCTAGAGAGGAGTTACCTCTCAATGTGAGACTTCTGACCTAATTAGAACACCACAAATGAACAGCAGGAAATTGACTTTATACCACATAAAGGGTGTAGATGCTGTTCTTTCTCCTCCCTCTTACTCCTAAGGGAGGGCCGGGACTCGGGTGTCTTCCCCAGCGGCTCAGCAGCAGTGTCACCCTGCCTCTGTGCTCTGCTCTCCATTGGGTCCTACCTTTCATTCCATGAGTGCTGGAGACTGGCTCTTCCTTGCTAGTTGTAGCTCTATCTGTGTTTTCAGTTCCAGGAACACATTCCACTCCATTGCCTTTGCTTTAGAGAAATACAGAGGAGCACTGAATCATGGGAGAGAACAGCACTTGCATTCCTCCTTCTACCAGCTAGAGCAGCATTGGCTTGCACTAGGTTATGCCTGGCTTAAATCTCCAGGTGCAACTTCTCTCTCCTCTTTTACCTGTGATGTCAGATCTGCCCCAACTCTACGGTAACATTCAACAAGGGAACGTTCAAAGGACACCTCTTGTTGGATAATAAAGTTAACCTCTAACTGGCTGCAAATCTTTTTTTTTTGGGGGGGGGTAGGTACCAAGGATTGAACCCAGGAGCACTTAATCATTGAGCCACAGTCCCAGCACTTTTTTGTATTTATTTATTTATTTTTTTAGAGATGGGATCTCACTGAGTTGCTTAGGACCTTGCAAAGTTGCTGAGGTTAGATTTGAACTCACAGTACTCTTTTTTGGCGGGCTGGGAGAGGTACTGGGGATTGAACTCAGGAGCACTTGATCACTGAGCCATATCCCCACCCTATTTTGTATTGTATTTAGAGACAAGGTCTCACTGAGTTGCTTAATGCCTCACTTTTGCTCAGGCTGGCTTTAAACTTGTGATCCTCCTGCCTCAGCCTCCTAAGCCATTGAGATTATAGGTGTGTGCCTTTGCGCCCTGCATGGCTGCAAATCTTAAAGGTGGAGAGGTAAGGAGGAGAAATCCCCTTCTGGATTCCCAAAAACTGTTTCACTGGCTTACTGCAGTTCCCTCCTCTCCTGATTATTGGCCTGAAATGCCAACTGTTGTACCAAGTCTTTTGGATTAGATTAGAACTAACACCTACTAGACACAGAAGGTCCAAGTAAATGAGATGGGCCTGAGCTAAACCTTGGCACTGCCCCTCCCCACAACTTTGTTTACAGGGTAGTTTGCAAGCTTCACTTGATGCTTCAATGAGTTCTTTCATTCACTAAACATTTACTGAGCACCTATACAAGTGACAGGCCCTTGTATATGAGGCCCAAGAGAAGCTAAAACTAACAAGACAACCTCCATGCCCTAGAGAAATTTACGGTCTAGTAGAGAGAAAAACACATCATAAAATTATAATATGGTCCACTAAATGGTGTAATTAGAGAGTACTTCATAAGATCATGGGTGCAAAGAGCAGGGAGAGAAACTCTGCTGGTTTCTAGAGCCTTCACTGACTCCCACCTCTGTCATCTCTTTGGGCAGCTCCATTAGGAGCAGGATAAATGAGTCTAAAAATTTAAGTGGGCTCCTGTATCAAAACTGGATCACAGACTAAGGTTTATTCAGGAAACACATAGTGGGTTCCTCCTTCATGCCTTAGCCAGGGAGAGGAGTTACAGAGAAAGTTTACCTCCTGAAGGGAGTGTAAGTGCATCCTCCTGCAGACTAGAGGGAATGAGAGGACAGTGGTGACCAGAAGAGCTCTTAGTGGAGAGAGGGAAGCTGTAGGAATTAACGTGAGAGGATACTGGTATCCACTCAGCCAAGAGGGACAGGCAAGCACGTGAAAATAGGAGTAGAATTGGAAGTTCTCATTTGAATATTAAAAACAAACAAACAAATAGATGCAACAGCAATTAAAGGAGGTTTCAAAGTGGCAGGTATCACTTTAATTGATGGCCCAGTGAGTCAGCACTGGAAAAGCTGCCCTTGTCTGGTAGTGGGGTCAGGAAACTGAAATTTTTTTTTTTTTTAAGATTGGAAATTATTCATAGCACGTTCAATGTTAAAAAAATTCTATAAGAAGAATCATGCAAAATCAATATGAATTATCCATAGCATTTAACATTTCTTTAAAAAAATTTTTTTTTTAGATGTTGATAGACCTTTATTTTTTTCATTTATTTATATGCAGTGCTGAGAATCAAACCCAGTGCCTCACACATGCTAGGCATGTGCTCTACCACTGAGCCACAATCCCAGCCCCTGGACATTTCTTAAAAAAAAAACAACAACAAAATAAAACAAGCAAATAACAACAACAACAAACAAACCAACAAACAAAAAAAACCACTACTCACCCAGTGGTTGATTCAAATTGTAGATTCCCTTGACCTGAAACAAAGCAAAACAACACTCTCAAATTTAAGCTATTTTGAATGGATTGTATATATTGATTTTTCATACACGTATACATAGAATACTATAAAATATATCAAAGTGTATAGATCTTTTTAAAAAACTTTTTTTAGTTGCAGATAGACACAATATTTTTATTTACTTATTTTTATGTGGTGCTGGGGATCGAAACCAGGGTCTCACGCGTGACAGGCAAGCGCTCTGCCACTGAGCTACAACCCCAGCCCGTGTATAGATCTTAATCTTATTTTCCTACTTATTCAGAAACAGTTTCTGGCTTGCCTGTCCCTGGTAGCCATTGTTTCTCCCACCCATCCTGCTGGGTTCCCTTTGTGCCTGGACTGTGGGTCCATCCATATTTCAACAATTAGCTCCCTTAGTACTGAATTAAGAACTAAACAGTGTGCCTGTGAAGTACTTATTTTTTCCACTTGAACCCAAAGTATATGATCAGGTGAGGGGTAGATCACAAACCTCTGGACAATAATAAGAATCACATTCTTTATTTGGATGTCATCCTAGGTGTAAGAAAAATAACACATCTCAACTCGAGTGGCTTCCCCACCTGCCTGCCCCTTTGTTGCCTACAACAGCCTAAAATTTGAACTCTTCAGCCTGATATATGAGGCTTACTCTCTCATCTCAATGGCATTTCTTCCAACTCTACCCATGGATTCAAATCACCACTGCCTATGTTCTCCCTTGGAGGCAGCTCTGTGGTCTTCGAAGGACTCCAGGGGCATCTTTTATTATTCAAGTGACCAGAACATGTTGCCCAGTGACTAGGATGGAACTGTGGACTTGGTTTCTACCTTGCCTTGTATCCCACCTAAGTGCTGCCATCACAAAGCTGCCTGCCCCGTGGGCTTTCCCCACAGCCCCCTAGACCATCCCATCATGCCACATACAAAGACGTCCCAAACTACAGGGCCCATCTCCCTCCTTGACCTCTCCCCATGTATTTGTTAAACATTCCTCTTCCCTGACCAAACTCTGACTCCATAACATCCTTTGGATACAATGCCCTCTGCTGCTAGGCTGTCTCTAATCCCTCCCTGGCTCCCAGTGTCCTTCTCACCCATAACCCCAGGTATCTTATGCCTTGCTCATTGCATAGAATTATTAGGCCCTAGAATCCCTAAGGATGAAAGGTGCTATAGGGTGATAATGGTTCTATGTCAGATCTTTGTGAAGTGCTAGACATATACAAGGGGCCGATGTTCTTGACATTCCTGAACTTGGAACTTGCATACCACCCTCCCCCATTGCCTGGGTGCCCCTGAGTCTCTATTCTGCCCCTGAGAGTCTCATCTCCTCACAGGATCCAGCTCAAGGCTCTGCCTCCCACTCACTGTGGGCCTTTCCAAGTTCTTAGAGCCCTTGTGAAATGTCACTCATGGTAAAACTGACCCTCAGTTTGCATATCTGTGAATAAAGGGACTGGACAACTGTGGGGCTTTCAGGGTTTTTTCTTTCTTTCTTTCTTTCTTTCTTTCTTTCTTTCTTTCTTTCTTTCTTTCTTTCTTTCTTTCTTTCTTTCTTTTTTCTTCTTTCTTTTCTTTTAATGGAAACTACATGCTGGTTCTGGTTAGCTTATTATCTGGATTTTACCTTCCTGTCATAACCTAGAAGAGCATGGTGCCAGGCCTTGAGGAGGGTTTGGGAAATGTGTGTCTGAATTTTAGCTGAATAAATACATTTTTACCTTCCAAACAAATGTGTCTTTTTTATTACAGGCCAGGGCTAATCAGGAGAGATTCTGTTAAGATTGAAATTGTAGATTTTGCTTTATTGTGGAAAAAGTCAATTGACCTATAGATCACTAAAGTGATCCCAATAAAATCTCAGCAAGTTTTTTTTCCCCCAGAAATTGATAAGCTCATTCTAAAATATACTGTTGACTCTCTGTATCTGTATCTCTTCCCTCCATGGACTCAACCAACTGAAAACAGAAGATATTTGGAAAAAAATTGCATCTGTAATGAACATGCATAGAATTTTAAAAAATCTTATTCCTTAAACAATAGAGTGTAACAACTATTTATGTAGCATTTACATTGTATCAGGTATTATAAGTAATCTAGAGATGACTTAAAGTATAGAAGAAAATGTGCACAGGGCTAGGGGTATAGCATCTGGAAAGCCCTGGATCTAATCCCCAGCATTGAAAAAAAAAAGGGGGAAAAAAGATGTGTATAGATTATGTGCAGATACTATTCCATTTTACATAAGGAATTTGAGCATATATACAGAACCAATACCCCATGGATCCCAAGGGACAACTGTATATGAAAATGTAAAGAACATAGAATAACCAAAACAACTTCAAAAGGAAGAACAAAGTTGGAAGACTCAAATTATCTGATTTTAAGACTTATTATGAAGCTATAGTAATTGAGATAGTGAGGAAGTTAATGTCAAGATGGACAAATAGATCAATGGAAAAGAATAGAACATCCAGAAACAGATGCACTTATATAAATCGTCTCACTTCTATAAATAGTCAGTTGGAGAAAGAAGAGTCTTTTAAACAAATTTCATAGACCAACTAGATATCAATATGCAAATATATCAACAGATATCAATATATCAACACCTGAACTTTGATCCATATCTCACATCATACACAAAACAAAACCAAAAACAACAACAATAAAAATCACTTAAAGTGGATCTTTGCCATCTGTATATCTTCTTTAGTGATGTGTCAGTTCAAATATTTTGTTTATTGTTCTCT